TTAGGGATTTAGGGTTTAGGGGGTTTAGGGTTTAGGGTTTAGGGATGGGGCGGGAGTATTGAGGAGCTTGCCGAAAAATAAGGACTGGTTCGAACTTTACTGTTGCGCTGCCAAACATGGCAGAGTTGTGAGCCCCATAACCCTAAAGGTCCAAAGGACCCAATCATTAGGTACTTGGCTTTCGGATCGTAGTTATGTAGGTTACTATTTGGGAGAGTATATGATTATTAGGTACTTGGACCCTTGGGGTAAGTCGTAAGCCCCAGAAAAGAAAGCCTAAACCCTTGTGAGCGCAGGCTGAATGTGAGAGCGCGTGCTCTCCGCCGTTGTCAATACCCTGGCTACTCCCCAAAGCTGGACCGAAACCCTAAACCCCTAAACCCTAAACCCCAAGCCCTAAACCTGTACCACGAAGAGCTCAGGATTCATCAAAGAGGACTAATAAGGGTTTCCGGTTTAGGGTTTAGGAATAATACCTTGACATGGCCCACCCTCAAAGATGAATAAGGGTTTAGGGTGTAGGGTTGAAAGCGGAATAAGATTTTGATATGGCGCAGATATGACTGGAGTTATATCCCCAAACCCTCGTCTATTCAATTGCGAAACATGATTCCATGGAGCTGACATACTGCCTGTTCCGATTCCTTTCGGTTGTAAGAATATCTAGCCCCGCAGGCCCGCCTGAATCTGGAAGACCGGTTGCTTTAAACTTGGCATGAACAGTGCAAAAGACTTCGACATACAACGGACGGGCATGGGATGCCCAAGCCCTAAACCCTAAACCCTATGCAGCGAAGCACCCCAGGTCACCACCGATACCGGGGGCTTCAGCAGGTTATGACTTCACCCAAGAATCCGCAACGCGGTAAAACCTAGAATGCACTTGGGAAAGGCTTTTAACAAGTGAGCAAAAGCAATGCTATGGAGGTTGTTGTTCAGAGTCTTGGGTAGATACGACTCAAAGAGGAGAGAATGTGGAATCCCTACAGGTTGTTCATAGATTATAGCGAGCAGGTAGCTTTTGTGAAAGAAGCGGCTAGATTTAGTTCTGTTGGGCTTACAGTGCGTTTTTGAGGTCGGGATGATCGGTATGTCCACAGTCGGAGTCTTACCAAACGTCCCGCTGGAGATGGGATTGCTTTGAGAAGTGGCTTACTCGTGCATGAGACTCCCCACAGTCCAAGTGTCCAAGTATTTTCCGTGCTGTGTCGGGCTCCTTTCCTGTTTTTGGGTCAGTCCTTTGACAATGTCCAACATGTCAGGTGTACAGGGAGAAAGTGCGCAGCTTTCGCAGTCTGTGCGAAACAGAGTCCCCTCAGTAAAAGCCCTCAAATTGAAATCTGCGCCCTAAGCCGCTATCCTCACAGACTATGAGTGCGCAACATAACAACAAACATCGTAAGACTGCAACTGGCAGTAGTATTGCTGCAGGTCATTCATGATTGCTGATAAAGAAGATACTTGGACTTAGTAGGTTGGGCCGCTGCCACATGATGCACGGCCAAAGCGTGGGTTGAGAGGCGGTGCAAAAAGACAACCCATGCGTATCATTGGGCCTGCTGCTTCCTTCCTAGGGAGTATTAGGGAGACCCCTTAAAGGGAACCCTTCTTAACCATACTTTTGGTTCTCTTAAAAGGGACCTTATTGAGAGGTCTATATCCTCAAGGACCCCCGTAATCCCAACTCCCAATCCTATAGTTTGCAATGTTTGTCCTCATGGCCCGACGTGGGGATGAGGTGGCCTTTCCCTCAAAGAGTGCACTCAACAAGGAACGAAGCAACTGCAGCTGGGAGTCTTGCCCTTAACCTTGATGTCTCAACTGCTTTGGGGGCAGCCGCCCTTCCACCCTATGTACTTCATGTACAGTACCATCATGGAATTAGGTCCCTAAAACCCTAGTAAGGATGGTCTTTTGGGACCTAATTCCATAAACGTACTATATGTGGAGCCTCTGGGATCTACATCACCAACCCTAAACCCTAAACCCTAAACCGAAATGGAGATTCGTGGGTTCTTCACCAGTAGCTTGTGCCGTACCGGACCAGCCTTTCGAAAGCTCTTAGGCATAGACTCCAATAATGTAGGGGCCTAGTTACTTCTAAATTATAACCTATAGTATATTGGGGGTTCCTTATCATAATTAGAGTATAATTTAATTCTAGATAATAACCAATACTATTTTGGCGGGTTCCTTATCAGAATTAGAGTATAGTGGGCCTCAAAACCCTATTTATTCTAACTATTAAGGCTCCTATATTAGGTAGAGCGGTTACTTGTGATAAGCTTCTGCACCTCAAGTTACTTCAACGATCATGCGAGGTTCATCGGGCACAGCCCGCATGAAGGCGACGAGACAGTGTTTAGCATCGATGGTTCACCCATATCTTCGCATACAACGCCGGCACAGCTGATGCTGAACCATGTGCATGATCATAATGTGCAGGAGGTTTAAGTCTGGGGGGGTCTAATTCGGATCCAACACGTGCTTGTGATGATCGAAATGGCTGCGGCACGACTCCCCGATGCCACGCAGCACCTCATGCTCCTGGGACTTAAGTGGCGGCGGGCATTTGGGGTTTAGGGTGTGAAGTTTTTACTCAACACTTGTAAATACAGGGGAATTTAACCTACTGTTTGTGGGGGACTGGGCGTTGCAGGTATAAGTTGGGGGGTAGCTTAGCGCGTGACTATGGTGTTTACAAGGTGTTGATCCTCTGTTGTTGGTGTTAGGGGGACTTGAGGTTCATGGCTAGCAGTAGCTTGTTGTTTATTGCTTTGCAGGGGGTGTTGACAAGTGCGCTATATGGAAGTATCATTGTGTTTGGGACTTTTACAGTTAGGACTAAGGTTGGACAGCATTGATGAGGGGTTCTATACACTTCAAGACGCATGTAGAGGACATGTTTATGTTCCTTTATGACGCCGCGACGTTCCTTAGAACCTTTCATCCAGTAATTCAAACAACCATGGCAGCAACGCTTATCCAACTTTATCCAACCCTCATAGCAGCCTGTGTCATGACTTCGTACCGAATACTGGGAGGGTTTCTTCACAAGGCTTGAGAAAATCTGCAACTATGAAACCCTAAACCCTAAACCCCTAAACCCTGAACCCTAAACCCAGAACCCTAAACCGTAAATCCTAAACCCTAAACCCTGAACCCTGAACCCTAATTTCTAAACCCTAGCCCTTAACCCTTAACCCCTAAACCCCAAACCCCCAAAACCCAAACCCAGCACCCCCAAGGCTCAGACTCTGACTCCTAAACGTAGAGTCTAGGGTGTTGGGGTATGATTCCGCCGGGGTCTACATACTCCTGCAGCAGATGCCGGACTATTTTGTGCCAAATATATAGGCTCCGCCTCAAAGGCCTAATGTAGGGGTCTAAATAATTACCTCTACTACTTCGGGGGTTCCTTCTTCTAACTAATAGTATCATCTCCCCCAAAACCCTGTTCTGATTATTAAAGCTCTTATTTTAGGTACATGGACTCACGAAACCCGAATAACAACTTTGGAGACTCTTAGAAGGAATCTTGAACCCTAAGGGTCCATCTTCCCAAATAGTACATACTTAGACTTTAGGGTCAAAGTATATTCATATGGATACATGGACCCTTAGAAAGGAAGGCTCAACCCTCAACCCGAAACGTTGATGATCTCTTTTTATGTTGGAGGGCTGATAAGAAGTAGGGTTACTATTTCGGGTTTTAGCGTTTGATTCTGGACGTAGGGCGTAATGTAGGGTTTAGGGTGTAATGTAGGGTTTAGGGTTTTATTTCGGGCTTAGAACTTGGGTTTAATTTCATGGTTATGGCTTGAAGATTTGATGTATAGTTTGGGGTTTAGAGTCTGTGCTTTATGCATGCGCTCCTCAGGTTTGGCTGCCTTCGCCCACTGGATCTGCTCCGCCTTGGTAGGGCCAGTCGAATCAAAGACAGCATTCATCTCAAGCTGTTCTTGATCACCCAGAACATATACTATTACCATTATAAATACACATGTAATTTATCTATCGATATATATATATATATATATATGGATATATTAAAATGTTCTTTATCACCCAGAATGTCGATAGATACTACCATAATGGAAGTGGGTCCCACAAGACCTTCCCTACTACGGTTTTGGGGACCTACATAATTCCGTAATAGCTAGTACATATGGACACCCTCATGGAGCCTGTCCTGTTCATTCCCAGTCTAGGACCGTCAAGAGAGTGTAGGCTCAATGACAAAAGTTCATATGTCTGCATCAACTGACGGCTGCAACCCTATTCTCTAAACCGTGCGCATAGTTGTACGAAGCCCGGAACTCCTAGCCTAAACCCTAAACCCTAAACCCTAAACCCTAAACCCTAAACCCTAAACCCTAAACCCTAAACCCTAAACCCTGAACTCCTACACGTTGGGCCCAATCCTTAAACTCCAGACTCAACAACCGAAACTCTGACAGCTCCTAAAAACTGAGACTTAAGCCCTAAGCTTTGGCGAAGCCCGGGTAATATAGAAGCCCGAATACTTAACAGTACGCTTCCTCGTTACAAGTATACTACAATACCACCACTAAAGCCCCTTTGCTATCCCTTGTGGTAACCTTTATGTTGGCTCTCCTTAACGAGGACCCCTACTCCAACTATCAAGAACCCAAAGGGTCCTATGTAGCTATGTGGTAGAAGGTAGGGTGTGTAGATTAGGAATGGCTATTATGATTTGGGGAAGTATCCCCCATAACAGTACGTAGGCCCCATTGGGAAAGCCCTAAACCTTGAACCCTAAATGCTCCCGGTATTGTCACGGCTCGATATGCATGACTGACAAGGAACCCACTTTTGCCTGGGTTTCCCTTACCCGTATAGTACATACTTAGACCTGGAAGGGCTTCCTTTCTAGATAGTCTAGGGCCGGACGGTTTAGGGTTTAGGGTTTAGGGTTTAGGGTTTAGGGTTTAGGGTTTTAGGTACATGGAGCCTTAGGGATAGGGGGAAGACAGTGAGGTGTAAAGCAAACGGTTTGGTTTTCAGGGTTCTGTGCTTAGGGTCTGCGGCTACGGCTAGGGTTTAGGCTCCCATGCTACGTACAGGCTTCTGGGCAGTGAGAAATGGGGTTGTACTGCGTCTAACATGGCGGCCGTAAGGATTAGAATAGGGTTCCGGGGTACATCATAGTATACTTATATTACCCCAAACCCCTAAACCCCTAAACCCCTAAACCCTAAACCCTAAACCCTAGGGCGTGCGAAGGCGATGATTGTTGACTGGTCAAGGCCCCATGTCGTGCTGCTCCAAACCCTACAATACTGCAGGCAAGGATACCTCAAACAGAGGGTACACTCCCCGGAGCCCTGGAATGACTGACTACGATGGGTATTGGGAGCCACCAAAGGTGGCTCTCTGAAGCTATGACCCTCCTTCAGGCACGGATAAGCTAACGACAACTCCTGAACCTCGGAGTGGAGTTAAAGTCTGAAATTACTCCAATGTGCTTTCCTGCTGCGGTTACCTGACTTGTTACCCTGTTAAGCAAAACAGGTGAAATACAATTGCAGAGTATGGTGCGCTATCATGCAGAACCCTTGAAGACCATGTAGAATCATACATACTTTTTATAGTATATACATACTCCCAAACTCACCATAGCACAAACATATCATCAATGTCATAAACATAAGAACCACAATCACTACAATGACTACAATATCAAGAACGTAACAGTGCTTCATACAATGTAACATATAAAGGTATAAAGCATTTGATACAGATTGTCTGACATACATTACAGAGTGCCAAAAAGTTGACAAGATAGAAAAAGCGGTAACACTGTATAACTGTAGAAGATGCAGTCTGCAATACGGCTGATGGACAAAATCCTGCATGACCCTATATACCTAAACTATGGGATTTATGGTACTATACTATATTTGGGTCATGCAGAATTTTGTCCATCAACAGTATCAGTCAGGCATAACCTATGGTATACGGAATATACGTGGTGTTATGCTTTATACACCATGATGTTGAAACATCCAAACTGCTCCAATAGAACATTTGCATGTTCATATATGTATACACTTAGATATCGTGTTAGGTACATATCGATATGTACATATCGATATGTACATATATATATACACGCTATGATATCATGCTTAACATATAGCACACAGCGTGGAATACATATATATATATATATATACACACACTATGCGTGTGTTAGCAGCAACGTACTGTAGTATTTGTGATGTGCAGTTTGTTTTCGAATAGATGAAACACACCATGTAGTTCATATATATATATACATACAATGTAATAGGCAATATGAAGTACGTGATGTAAAGTGCACGTTTCACAGAGTTGTTCAGGAATGACTTCCGTATACTATATATCATGACGAAGAATCTGACATACCGTGCAAAATCACGAAGCGTAGGATATATGCCACGTAATGTTTACATACAATACAAGCCAGTGCAATCTGTCAACACACCGTGTAGTTACATAACATAGCATACCCTATTATCATCCAGGGCCGCAAAACAAACTATAACATAACACACACAAAAAACGATATCCAGTAGTGGCAGACTTAAGGTAATATCTGTTGAAAGACTGTTCTGCCATGTAATATATCAAAACATAAGTTTGTGTCGTGTATTTTGCTAGTCTAAATAGTACAACACAGAAACACTGAATTCCACAGAACACAGTATCACACACGTTTACTTCAATGGGTTGCAATGTCAGGCAGTTTATTGATCATTGCACTTTATGTAATGATATTATTCACTATGTTATGCTGCCTTACCCTTGGACTTCGCTTCCCCTTTCGCTTCCGCTTTTGGCTTTGCCTTGCCTTTGGCGTTCGCTGCTGCCGGTGCTGCATCAACATCATGCTTGTCAGGGGTGCTGCAAGTTCCTCAATTTGTGAACTGAAAAGCACGGTCTGGTCGATGGATAAGCCGACGGACTTGCTTTCCAATACAGTGTGCTATTTGTCAATAAAGCACCGTATATTACAGAGTATAACACAGCATCATACAGCACAGCAAAGTAGAATGCTATAAAACAGTTTAGCACAGTAATACACACAACAACTTTCTGGTATAATCTCTTACTATACTCTCGTTTGATAGTGCTACGCATTAAGCTTGTTTATATAGCCGAACATAGTAGGACAATAAGCGAATGTTGTGGATTATGACCTTATCTGAACTCGTTCAAATATCAAGATTCTAATGAAGTTTAGTGTGCTTGAGTACAGCACAAAGCTCGGTATGCTAGGGAAACACGATCTGATACAGTGTGATCTGAGATGATCACGGCTATGACAATGGTTATGACCATGGCCTTGTTTGTGGCAATGTTATAATATAATATTATTGTTGACCTGGTATGAGAATGTATGACTGACATTGTGCCATTTAAGTGATGGGATGTGGTGTGGTATCATGTGATGTGATATGAGAACAAGCAGTATGACAGGATATGGTAAGGTATATAATGATCTGATATGATACATCGTGACATGGTATGGTGCGACATGATATGGCATGGCATGGTATGGTATGATATGATATGATATGATAGGACATGGTATGATATGAGATGATAGGATGTGGAAAGATATGATATGAGTCGGTAGGTTAAGGTATTGTGTGGTATGAACAACATACCGTATGATGGCAGTTCCTGCTCTTTGATTGCCTATAGATCCCTCCTTATTTTGTGGCAGATAACAACCAGGGCCTACAGCTCTTACCCTTAGTTCCTGAACCAGTCCAACCCTACCCCGAAGGCTCAAAATAAATCAGAAACGTTTGCAAAAGTGGGGCAGCCGGTCCCAGAAGCCCTCGACTAATCATGGGTCATCAGAGCTTTGAGCCTGTCAACAGCACGCTTCACTCCACAGCTCTTCAGCAGGGTTGGGGTCTTATACTTGCACTGTTCGTAGATATATACACAGTCATATTGCAACTTAGAGCCTACACCCGAGACTGTGTATTGGTTTCGAGTTCACATGTTTGGGCTTCTGTGCCCTAAGCCTTGAGCCGGGAAGTAACACTTGTAGTAGATGCTTGGGCTGTTTTGTCCAGACCTACCCGGAACTGGCGCAACATTCCAGCTGCAGGGCTTTACCCAAGCTTCAAGATAGCCCAGCAGGCTGACAGTATGGTGTTAGGGCTCGATAATCTTCTCAATCAATGTGTCGAGCGGAATTCAGACGGTGTTGCTAACATGTTTTGGCCCTACAGGTCGTTTAGCCGCCCATGTGCTGCATTCTGGAAAGATTACCAGCAAGTAGCTTCCGAATGCAACATTTTGGAATTTGGATGCACTTCATATGTATGATGCTCAATCTCATCTTCTCTGCAACATTGCCTCGCACATGACTCTTGCGACAAGCAATGACAAGCACCAACCCACAATTGCGATTCGTTTTGCACGATGCCTCGGTCATGGGGTGCGAGGTTCCGGAATCATTCGGGGAAACGGTTAATGCCGTTTTCCCATCATCCGGTGCATGGCCGAGTTGGATGGGTTTGGAACTTCCAAACAGTGGCCCTACATCCGTGATCATCCGTGAAGATTTTGAAGAAAACAGCTCATGATAGCCCGCGTGGATCAGAATTTCAATCTGCCGGGTGGCAGCCTAAGGATAAGGAGACGGGATAGTAGCATTACGTCATAATCATGGTGACAGTGTGCTCGCCATTGCTGTGCTTCCTTGAAAAATATTGCGGGCGCGGGAGGATTGAAGCTGAAGCACGGACATCATCGCGTGACAGGCCTTGAAGAGTCAAGATGCCGTTCTTGAAGCGTAGCAGCCCACACATGGACACATGTTCAACCTTCGCAAACTGTCGACAGTTTAAAGTCTCGGAGCCAACCTGGAACTTCGTCAGCCAACAACCTTGCGTTTGTTTAGACGTTTTGGAGATCTATCCGATCCACGCCCGTCATAAAATGCAAGCTTATAAAACCGGTAACCGAGGATGCCAGCATGCGCAGCTGAAAGACTTGGTGGTGTTGCTTTGCATCCCTGCCGCCACTTGCTTGGGAACATGTGTGAATGTTGGCAACTTCAGCATTGAAGGTGAGGAATCCAGCAGGTTTCGTACATCATCTCTGATGTACGCGGGTGTGTGAGTGCCGTTGAACAGGCATCTTCGCAGTCCTGCTTTGCCATATTGGGAACTATTGGGGCACTTGTTGGGGTTCCCCCACAAGACTACGGCACTCGTATACAGCAGAAATTTGCGCGAACCTGTAGTTTACAATGCTGCTCACGTCCGTTCGTTTGAACTTAGGGATGATCGCAAAGTTCGCCCCGCTGCTTTCATTTCAGGCCCTAGGCCACCGCCTTGGCAAAGCCGCTCGGGCTCTGCGGCAGGTGTCCTTGGGGGTTTCCAGGTTCAGTCTTGCGCGCAGAAGGCTCTTCAATGTCCAGGGTTCTGGAGTGTGTTTTGAGGGTTGAGGGTTTCGTCCTTTTGCGTTGAAGCGCATAGGGAGTAATAGGGGCGGCGGCAGGCGGCGTGTGGATTAAACAATGCCGGGGGTCGTTTCTGTTCTTGTTTGCGGGCTCTAGTGTGTCGCAAGCGTGTAGGGATTGAGGGAACGAATTTCAAAAGGAAGGATGTTGGGGTTGCTTTTCACGTTCTCATTGCGTAAATGCCACGTCTTACGATGAGTCTTGGCTGTTCATTCAACATCCAAGCCAAATGATCGTACCCGAGAGTTATGGATAGTGAAAATTTTAACCTGTAAACTTTGGGGATGGGGAGCTGGGATACAGGTGGGACAACTACACAGCGCGGACAAACCACTGACAAATTGCCGAATTGTTCGTTGCAGCACAGTCCCTAAAACCCGGGAACCCAACTCTTTATTTCAGTCCCAGCTGCCCAACCATCAGCCCTTATGCCTTATACGTCTATGACCGCTGAAGCCTCAAGCTGTGGTTTGCAGGTCTTGGATGTTGGATTTACTCCCCCACTCCCCTCTCACCACGAAGAGAAAACCTAAGCGCCGTGAAGTCTACGGGTTTTCCTCCATCTTGCGGGAGCGCAGGAGCTGCAGCGAGCCAGCTGGAGCGAGCCTCGCAAGGATTCTCCTGATACATAGACGCCTGAATGCTCATAAGCATATTTTGAGACCTATTCCTCAGAGTTCAGGGTTTTAGGGTTAAGGGTTCAGGGTTTGGAAGTAGGGAAGCCACAAATATGCTCATCTGTAGGGTCCCTTATTACTTTCATCGCACTATTCGAAACTATACTGACTATGCCAGAAAGTCCAATCCGAAACGGCCCCAGCCTAAATGTGCTCTACCGAATGCCTGTAGCCGAAAAGACCTACCTTTTAGGTTTCCTTGCTATGGTTTCCACATATGGTTCCCCAAAACCCTAAACCCTAAACCCTAAACCGTGGAAGGTCTTTCCGGCTACAAGTGATGTTTGCTTCGAAAGGCTTTGCTTCAGAAGTCATAAACCGAACCCCCCAAAACCCAGAAAACGAAGCGGAGATATACCACCTCACTGTAACCAGAGTGCCCAGTACCCCGGAATGAAGGAGTCGACCTTGAAATCATAGCCAGGACACCCAATGTTTTCGATATCATTCTTCATTACTTTGTCCGGTTGCAGGAGGACTTGATCTTGTCTGGGATGAGTGAAGCCTTCGAGCGAGCATCACCGCTGCCAGTCAAGACAGCGGCGGACATGCATGTGGACGGAGGTGTCCAGGATATCTTTGATCTTGTGAAGGAGAAGCCGCTCTTGAGAATCACAGAATCTACCGGTGCAGTGTGTCGTTGTGGTGGGCGCAGATCTTCAGCAGCCCCATTGCGGGAGTCCTGTTGAATAGGAGTCGAATCGAGCCCATGGGGGAGTTTTACTTTCCGAGCCTCACCCAGAGAGCCCAATACCCCTTAAATAAAGCAACATAGCTTAAAGGCTTAAATTCTAAGGGACTTCATATTATGATTTAAGCTCTATTCCCTATTTAGGGGGTATTGGGCTCTCTGGGCAGTTCATGACGATGCGAATGGTGGAACTCGGAGCTTCTTGGATTCTAGCTCTTCATTCCTCCAAACGCTTCGCCATCTCTACCTCTGCGAAGTCCGTCCTGCACTGTCAGTTCTACCCTGATACCAAGGAACCTAGCAGTATAGGGCTCCTTTTCATGGTTTCCTTATAAGAGTCCTTAAAAAGGTAGGTTCTTTAGGTCTAAGAGTCGTTAAAAAGGTAGGTTCTTTAGGTCTAAGAGTCGTTAAAAAGGTAGGTTCTTTAGGTCTAGTTAGGGGGTACTCCCCCAAAGACAATAAAGATTAGCTTGGTTGCTCTACAAGGCTGCTACTACTTTCCCGGGCCAGGGAACCTGGAAAGCAGGTATTGTGTGACGTGATAAGCATCAGAACCCTTTGAAGGTACTTATGTAGCTTTACTTAGGGGTTTAGGGTTTAGGGTTGAGGCTTACCTACTACGCAACCCTCCTCGTATCCTAAGCCCAATTGCCTGCTTATTGGGTGCTGTGGACCCTGAGGATACAGTCCAGAAGCTACATGGGCACACCCTTGCAGTTCTTCCGAGATGACATCGTCTACAGGAACTTGTATGTGAGCGAAACCCTACACCCTAAACCTACACCCTAAACCCTAACCGTTTCCTACCGTTTAGGGTTTAGGGTGAACCTGAAACCTTAAACCCCGAACCGAAAACTTGATTTCAAGCAAGACTGCCAGGAGCAGTTTGTTCGACAGATGGCCGTTAGCTTCGACGCTCGCTGCGTATGTGATTAGGGCCTCGGGGTGCTGAGTAGGGGCTTCGGATTGAGGGTACGTAACGCTTTCCATAATTTTTTTTTGGGGGGTGCTATCTTCCCCATATATAACCCTAGAACCCCTGAGATTCAACCTTAGTTTCAATGGGAAACCGGACAATCACAAGCAAGCTTATTGTGCCGGACCAAGGGGATTCGGCTGTTTTTATTGTTTAGGGTTTAGGAGAGTTGAGGGAGGGTTTAGGGTAGCTTGCAGCATTATAGTAAGTAGAACCCTAAACCCTAAACCCTGAAACCCTAAATCCTAAAACCAAAACCAGAAAGCTCAACGCCCTAATGCCGCCACCCCTGGAGCCCGGAACCCCTGTAAAATCCTTCAGTATGGGACTCTTTCAGTCAAGAGCGCCAAAAGATGAAGAACCTTTATTAGGGTTTAGGGTTTAGGGTTCAGGGGTTTAGGGTTTAGGGTTTAGGGTTTAGGGTTTAGGGTTTAGGGTGTAGAGCCCTAAACCCTAAAACGTCCTAAAGAACCCTTCTAGCACAGAACCCTTGTAGACCCAAAAGCTTCTTAGCTCATTAAGCCATAGAAACCCAAAATCCCATAACCCTAAATCCCTACCTAGAGTCTCCATTGTAGTTCCTTTTTGGGGATACCTTATAACATCCTTAATATATATATATATATATAGATTCGGTTAAACCAAAAGAAGGAACTACAATGGAGACTATACGTAATCCTCAAAGCCCCAAAACCCCAAATGCCCAAACCTCAAAACCCCGAAACCCCGAACTTTGATCTCCAAAACCCTTATAAAACCTTGGTGTTCTTCTGGTTGGCTCTTATCTTTTTTGGGTCTTAGGACTTTAACTTTTTTGGGGTTTCTATATGCAGAAGTCAGCCAAGAAACCCTATATAATCCCTCAAAACCTCAAACCCCAAACCCCCTAAACTCTAAACCCCAAAACCTTGAAACCCAAGACGCATATAAGCCCTAAACCCTAGACCTAGAACTCAGGAGCAACGCGCTCGTGAGTTCCAGCATCAGAGCGATATCAACTCCGCCTGGCTGGCGAGGGGAGGCAGCGGGTTCAGGCTTAGGGTCCAGCGTTTAGGGTTTGGGGTTTGATCCGGGTTCAGCGTTTGGGGTTTAGGGCGATAGTGTCTAGGATTTTAGGGTCTCGGGTCGTGGGGTTTAGTGTTGATTTCGTTTGGCCCTGTATAATACCTACGGCTCTGAAGATGAACGCACAAGATGCAGATAGTGAACATTGCCACGCACCAAAAACCATTGTCAGTTTGCATCTGCACTGTAACTAGCATCGTTGGGATTATTATGAGTGTTCTGTTATACTGTTGCTAGTGTATTCACCGCGACTACTACTGTCAGCACCATCGGGTCGAGTTCACAACCAAGGCGCCCAGCATCAGTACCACCACCACCACCACCACCACCACCACCACCACCACCACCACCACCACCACCACCACCACCACCACCACCACCATCTCTGCAGGAGAGTCACTGTGGCCATGTTTGCACGTGCGACGCGACCTACAAGGGTAGTTCTCTAAATTGGGGTCCTTTTTTTTATAAGGGTGCCGCACTATATTGGGACCTAGAAAGGGGCCCAATAATTTAGAGAACTACCCACAAATCCCCTCAAAGGAGCTGCGACGGCCTACACTCTCTCGGCATCAAACTGCGACGAGGCGACGGCAACAGGGTTCCGATTCACAGTGCCGCTTTCCTGTTAAGCTAAGTTACCAGAATAGGGGTCTGTAGTAAATAATATTGTTTCCGCATTATAGTAACTTATATTTCATCCCTCACAAGAACCCAGTTTTCGTTTTGAAAACCCCCAACCCTAAACCCTAAAACCCTAAACCCCCGGGTCAGTTGTGTGGGGCAGCAGCGCTGCAGCAAAGGCCGGCCTCCAGAAATCAACTCACCGTCGAAGCAGGGACCTCCCATTAGGAACCCCGCCCGAACCCGAACTCGAACTCAAACAACCCTAAACCCTAAACC